GTTAGACTCATGAATCTCTAACCAGGATACTCACTGTGAAAAAAATTACATCATGTTGCTGCTGATCTGTTTATGTTGCTGCTGATCTGTTTCATGTTGCTGCTGATCTGTTTCATGTTGATGTGTTCAATCATACTCATCTGCTCATACAGACTCATGTTCGTGCTTCTGTTCGACGTAATGTTTTTATGATTAGTGCATTATTTAGCTGATGTTTTTCTTAGTTCATATCTTAGATCTTATTACTGTTTTTCTTTTACATTTTATTGTTGGATGTAACTGGGACACTGTGTACATAATCTCGTTCCACCACATGTACCACATGTACCACATGTACCACATGTGCCACATGTGGTGTGAATGACAAATAAATCTCTCTGACTCTGACTCTCTGATTCCTTAAGAAGAATCAATTTTTGAAACTATTTCTTTCATTCATTCAACTTTTATACAGGTTAGTCTCATTGAGCCTCAAGGACTCATTTACGAGAGAGACCTGTTTTAAACAAAGAATGATGACAACAGTAGGCAATTATAAAAAGCATAAAAATGGAAAAACAAATGGTAGAAAATGATGTTAAAAAACAAAAAAAACAAAAACAGCTACAAAGTGATGTAATATACTAAAAACAGGAACAGGTCCGTGTTGGTTTTTCCACGAACTTAACAGCTGTTTGAAGCCACTTACAGAGGTCAAGGTCGAGAGTTTCACATCTTTTTGTAAGATATTCCAGAAAACAGGAGCGGAGTAGGAGAAGGCCCTTTTTACCAAGTTCAGTCCTCACTGAGGGAACACTGCAGGTAATAATGTCCTGAGAGTTCACGCTGTAGCTGCACTCACGCAGAGACATGTAGGAGATGTATGAAGGCAGCAGACCAAGAAGTGATTTAAATAAGAAAATGTACCAATGAGAGAGTCTGTGTGAAGTTAATGATGTCCAGTTAACCAGTGAATACAGGGTGCAATGGTGGGTACAGTAGTTACAGCCCGTTATGAATCTTAGCGCAACTAATAGACAGCATCCAACATCTGCAGGGTGCTTGTTCATGTAAATGATGTCACCATAATTTAGTTTTTTAATCTGACCTTAATGAACAGATAACGTTTCATTACGATCACTGATATTTATTACGGTGATATTTTATTGGGTGCGCTCAAGTCAGTGATGAAATCGAATGCTTCTTTTATATTGTGAATAATGCAACATGTGGTAAAACGGTTCATTATAAGCTACTCTTTCTTATCAGTTTGAGAAAAGACTTAATTTGAGTTAACTAAACATTGAGTAACATCTCTTTCCAAACACATTATAATTACTATCAACAAAACAACCAACAGCTGTTGTATCTGAGATGCTGCTCATATTTGTCAGGTACAAACTCATATGTAATCATATTTTTTATGTTTGGTTAATTTTAACTTCAAACTTTTACACACAATGTGCCACATTTTTTGTGAACACTTATGAGTTTTTAAAAACTTATGTTAAATACTGAAATATGTCTTTCTGTTTTGCCATTTGGCCAGACGTGACAGATGTAACATGATAAAGTACAGCGTAGAGGCGGCGGGAAAGAGGCAGAATAGTGAACGAAAACTTGTTTTATGACGGTGACAAAAATTAAAAAGTTTGGATTACTCAAAAAGCAAGGCTACTTTTTGTTCTTTGAAAAAACGCAACATCCACGCTTGTTAAAAATGTGCTGCACCAACAAGCAAAACCACTTTTTGACAGAAAATTAAAGCTATGACTGCAAAAACACCAGAGTGCCTCATAAACTGTGCACCACCAGGATCAGGTCCTTCTGGACCCTGATTCCCTTTTGTCACATCAGTGTAGTAGTTTAAAATGACATGAAAATCACTCATAAAAATAAAAACTGTGGACAGAAACAAGATTTCGCAGGTATACTGCTGACTGCTGCACTTCTCTTTAAATGTATTGAATTTCTTTCTTTGTCTTAAAGCGTAGCGTGTATTCAGTTTGACTGAAACACACGATGAGAAACTCCAAACTTTGTAAAAGCACTTTGTAGATTCTCTTAAGATGGGTTTATGAGGAAATGACAGCATTACTATATTTTATTTTAGAAATGTGTTTTTCGAAGTGACGTTTTGTCAGATAGTTGATACATAGTACCTTATGAGCGCATTTGTCACAGATCATGGAGAAAGAGGCAAAAGTCTTCCTCCAGGCTAGGCTAACAGCTAGCAAAATCAGGGGCCCTTTGATATTGCTTTTTGGGCTTATAAAACATCTATTTTTCAAAAACGACATACTGGTCTGAACAAAGTTAGCTTATATTAAACAGCTGCACTTTTGCATGACACCGTTGTGTTATACTTTGTTGCTGTTTTCTCAACTGAACGACGCCAGTCAAATATCTGTTTCCTGAAGCTGTTTAGTGCATTAGTTTGAGAGGAGTAAACTTTTGGACCGACAGATTCATACCAGCTTCAGGAATGTATTATAACCAACTCATAGAGACAGGGCCAGAAGGTGGAAGTTGAAGCCTCAAGCAATGAGCACCCCCCAGTGGCTGGCTGCAGTACAAAGACAACAAAATCAAAAGCACACCTCATGTATGAGTTTAGGTGTTGGTTATTGTTTAATCATGTACTGCATACCTTGCTGCTGTCTGCTCAAATTATTGTATTTAATACGTAATTTCTGGACTATTGAACACACCCAAATATAAGCCGCACCCACTACATTTAAACAATAATAATAAGTTTGTACATATATAGGCCACACTTGAGTATAAGCCGTGGGTGTCCATGTTGTAACGTGAGACATTTACACAGAAATATATTTTTTAAACTTTTGATTAAATACGTATCTGTAACATACACAAATATGTACAGTAATTATTATTTTTTTTTTCTGAACAGTGCAGGTAACACGGCTGGTTAAAAAAAATACAGTAGCTTTGTCTTCATCTTCCTCCTGCAGAGGATTAACAAAAACTGCTCCTCTGTCAGGATCCACTGGCAGACTGGAGCAGAAGTTGATCTTTGCCGCCACTTTTACAAAACGATTTCTCGCCACCAGTCATCCAAGCCTCCCACCGAGCTTCAAGCGTCACTTTAATACACGATTCACACTGATATCGAGTGGCTGCGAATAATTTGTTGTGCCCCCAGGGAGGGACACAAGTTCCCCCTCCCCGTTCTCTTTTCCACTCCTCGTTTCATTGGTCCACTGTGACCTGTTTGGTAATTTCATAGGTCAGTTCTTTTTAACCTTTATTTATACAGGTAGTCTCATTGAGTCACGAGGTCCCACCATATTGGGCAGCTATGTGGTGTGACGAGGCTAAACGTTTTGGCGGCTGGAAGCTCGTTAGTCCGTCAGAAAACAAAAATCCATAAATTGATACTATTAACTTTGTACCTGTACCCCTGGCAGACACATGTTTGTAATGTTGATTAAAAACTTTAAAAAAAAATCATAAATTAGCCGCAGCATAAAATAAGCCGCGGGGTTCAAAGCTCGTGAAAAATAGTAGCGTCTTATAGACTGGAAATTACGGTACTTTTAGTTTCAATGGGTTGTTTTAGGATTAAATAAAGTTGTCATGTGTTCAACGGTGTAACTTCCTGTCAGTGAGTTGGAAGGGTGCTTAGACCACTCTTTTATATCCGTGTCCTAAGTCCCTAGTGTGCAGATATTGGCTCCAACAACATGAGAGCCCCCCCCCCCCCCCCCCCCCCCCCCCCCACAAACAAACAAACAAACAAACGAACAAAAAAAAACTACATTTTGGCTTCAGTTCTGGACAATGGAAGGATGTGGAGATGCTTCGTTCAAAGTGAATTTACAGCAACACAGATGTTCAGTTGAGAAAGCAGCACCAAACTAAAGTAACAGTTTGACAAGTTGAGAACGAGTTATTTTACCAGTCTGGAAACAACGTAAAAGGACACCCGGTTTAGACTGGAGGAAAACTTCAGCTCTTTTCTCCATACTGTGACTGTTACCCCCTCCGCTCAACTATAAATAACTCAGAACATAAAATGGCCAAACTGTTATTTTAAAGTAAACCCCCAAAAAAGCTAAATAACCTAAATGCATTACACAGTAAGGTCATAGCTGCACAACCCCCCTGAATAAATACACAAAAGGGCTGCCTTATCATCTCCAGTTTAGGAAAACAAAGCCACACCCGTCCGGTTAAAGAATTATTCGACAAAAAGCAGTCCCATAAATATGATTTTACCCCCCCTTTGAATCCGTGATGTAGATGCGCACTGTACAAGCGCACTGTATATTTGTTGCCTCGCATCCAGCTCAACAACTCGTCTGCTGCCATGGCAACTGCGGAGGAGCACCGAGCAGCGCCCGCCCGCCTGTGCAATGGCTGTCACTCGTGGCAACGGCCAATCAGAAGTTCCCATCCCCCCTCCTTCCTCCCCACTTGCAGGAGCAGCTTGAAGATGGAGGGATGGAGTGGGTGGGTTTTCGGCACCATGCATCTGCCAGTAATAGGACAGACGGGTCGTCAGTCTGCGTCCTGCTGGTCAGTGATTGGTCAAGGAGCTGCTCGTGCATTTATATAAACATGTCTGCTGGTGCGCTCCGGCTCGAGCCGAGGCTTCCAGGGCGCCCGCGCACTTCTGCATCAAACTGTACGAAAAGTCACATCATGTGTTCTGGTGTTGCGCGGCTAAATCTTTATTACTGGTAGGGAATATGCACCCAGCTGGCCGCGCGCGCGTCAGGAAACGAGGATACGCTGCTGCAAGAAACACACAGAGAGAGGGGGGAGAGAAAGAGAGAGAGAGAGAGGAAGGGGGAGAGGGGGGGACTCAGCCGCGCTTTCATCATTATAATCACCATCCTAAGTATTAGCTCTTAACATTTTGTTTTTCGGTGTTTCAGGCGAGAAGTGACAAGACTGCAGACCCCTCCTCTGCAGGGCGGAGCGTGCATTTTCATTTTCTGTGTTTTTTTTTTTCTCCCCCTTTTCTTTTTCTCTCGTTTTTATTTTTTCCTCCCCCTGTACCCTGCTCTGACACGTCTGCACTGACTGAGTGAGTGGCATTGGCACACTGTCAATCGCTCACCAGCGCTAAACATAAAACACACACAGGCAGAGAGGCTGCAGCTCATAAATTTCAGCAGGGCAAGAGATTTTTCTGCGCGTCGCCTTCTTCTTTCTTCTTCTTCTTTTTCTTTTTTTTTTTACAGCCTTGTATCCTAATTAATTTCGCCTCGCTGCTGATCTGTTTTTTTTATTTTTTTTATTTTTTTTTTTAACTGAAATCTTCCCAAATTTTTTTGGCACGTTTCATAATTTTTATATGAACATTTGGACACCTTTGTGCCACAGATATTTTTTAAATTATTGGCACCACCTGCAAGCAAGGCTGAGACTTCTCTCTTTTTTTTTTTTAATTCATTTATTAGTACAATTATTAGAATTTTATACGTTTACACATTTCAACGTTGGGATATTTCGGTGGATTTGTGGACATTTTCCAGCGGAAATCCCCTCGAAGAGCGCGAAGTAAATGAGAGACCAGCACCGAGGACCGCTCCTGTCCACGCTAACCGGGTCAAATCTGAGAGAAGAGACCGACTGGTGCCGGATTATGATGCTGCTGCTGATGAAGATGATGATGGAGCGTCTATTCTGACGAAGAAGTTTTCACAAGGAGAAGAAATATAAATCCAAGCGGCACCTTTTGGCACTTTGGACCGCGCGTAAAAACAACAGGAGGACAGCGGCAACTTGGGCACGAGATTTACGCCAAAACACCCCCATTCCTGCCATTTAGTTCATATATATATATATATATAAATATATATATAAATAATAATAAAATAGTGTTTTTTTTTTATTATTTCCCCTGTGCGCTTCTACAGTTGTTCATCCACCCAGTCTGTGCGGCACATGCTCTAGCCGGTTTCGTATATGAGTTTTTCAATTTGCGTGGCTCAGTGCACAGACTCTTTAGCGTCTACTATGGACGATCAAGCCCGGATCATGCAGTCGATCGGCGGCGTGAGTCTGGCTGGACACTCGGTGCAGGGCGGCATGCCGCTGCCGCCGCATGGCCACGACGGGACGGACGGGGACGGCAGGAAGCAGGACATCGGTGACATCCTGCATCAGATCATGACCATCACCGACCAGAGCCTGGACGAGGCGCAAGCAAAGTTGGTTGATTTATATGTTTGTTTTTATCCATAAGTTCACCCCCACCCCTCCTGAAATGTGCAGGTTTACCTGCAGATGTGGCTGGATTATAACCTCAGGATGACTTTTGTTCTCTTTCACCTCACCCAGCTTTAACTTTTGACCAAGTTGTGCACTGAGAGAACAGCAGAGTTGTATTTAAACTACCTGTTTGCTTGCATGGACCTGCGTGAAAAGTTTTGTCCTGAAATGTTCACAAAGTCTCCAGAAGAGCTGAGACATCATCCATTAAGATGCTAAACTCTTAACAGTGCAAGCACCGTTCATATAAAACATGTGTTTATGTTGTGTTGAAGAGTGGCCATTTGGAGGAAAGTGGCATGATGAGCTCACAGCAGCATGTCTGCTCTGAATGATCAGTGAACTTATTTGAGTGTTCTGTTTTGTTTTTCTAATACTGAAACAGGAAACATGGACTGAACTGTCATAGAATGAAACCAGCACTCTTCAGCGTTCTCTGCGAAATCAAAGAAAAGACAGGTAAGATCTTTCTTTCACCTGAAACGAGTCCTGATCCAAAACATTCAGAGGAAGCTTCATGCCTCACAGGGATTATTCCCCTCATGATCCCATGGCATTCAGGTTGCAGGGGACCTCTGCCCGAACAAATCAATCACCTTTTGAAATGTCTCAGTGCCAACTGGGAGCTGTTGTGTTGTGCAGCCACGTGGATTGGGGTTCCTCTGAAGATGCTCTTGTTCCTGCAGGAGCTTCTGTCGCAGCACTGCTGGTTGGAAATCACACAGAAAGAGCTCAGTCCCACATCCCTGGCACAGAACAGGACGGGGAAATCCCGTAACATATGCTTCACACAGCGACATCACACAGAATCCATGCTCTCCAACGTGACAACAATTACCACGCTTTCAAGGAGGCTATAAATCTGTCACTGGAGTGTAACTCTGCGGAGTCGCCTTGTTTTTAAAAATGTTCTTTACACGGGAACGAAACAAGAGCTTCCCGTTAGTTTATCTAAAATTAAATGCATCTAGTATTTGTTAGGATTAAGAATGTGGTCATATGTTTATGTTTATTCTATTAGCGTGCACAATAACACACATGTAATAACTAATATCACAGCCTTGAAGCTCCACAGAACAATAAAAGTTATATCTTGCAAAACTGTTCATAACGCTTAACATCTGTTCACAAGTGCATATAATTTTTAATGACATATTCCTTTTTTAAATGATTTACAGACCAAAATGAAATTTGATTATATTTACCGATTTCTTTTATGCTTAAAGCAAGAAATAAAACGTTGAGCAAAAGGTTTAAATATTTAAAGCACTGTATCAGCATCAGTTGCTGCATGTTTTTTTTTAATGGGGAACAAAAGGAGCACAGAGAAAAAAGCCCTAATGAGCAAATCATCAGATTTTCAGACCTTTGTACATTTTATGAGGAAATTAGCTTTAAGGAGATCGTAAAACTTTATGAACTTCCACAACACAGGTGGCGTCCACAGGGACAGGCGGGTGCTATAGCGGTGGTGGTGGGGTGTCTTCAGATGAGCCGAGGTGCTGTGATCACGAGCTCCTTTTGGATTTTACACAAAAGCAAGACAAAAAAAAATAATAATAATTAGAGTTGAACATAAAAACTAAAGAACGGATCACACCGAATGTCAAATCTAAAAGAAAAAAAAACCATCGCTGCAGGTTTAAAGCTGACTTCATTGAATAATAATTTCCCTGTTTTTATTTTGGAGCTGAAGTTACAACTGACAAAACGGTGCAGCCAAAATGTGCTCTGTTGAACAAGTAAAGAAAGAAATTAAGGATTTATTTGGGCATTTGTGAGAGTGTGCTCCTCGCTGCAAGTGTGTGAAAGAGACGAGACATGAGGAGAGTTTCTATAGGTGTGTGTGTGATTAACCTCCAGTTTGAAGCCCCGGCCTCCACCCGCCTCCCCCTCCGCTGACAGAGCTCAGCTGGTCCTCTGGCCTTTCTGACCGCCTGTTCTTCCAGCCTGTTCGAGACGTCCTCGGCCCTTTCGTGTCTGTTCAGACGACACACAGATCTGACTTTTAGCTGAGACGTTTCAAGCAATATCTGTGCAAAGACCTCGTGAATGATGCTCTCAAGATGATTACTGAGAATCAAAGTTGAGCTTCTTTTGTGGTTTTTGTAATCAAGGTGCGAATCAAAACTTTCTAAAGTGCTTCCCCTCCTGGTTTTATGACGTCTTAAAGACTTGGGCTGTTTTGGAGTTTATGGCACTCTTCAAATTGTTATTGTGGAGCTACAGCACATTTCTGCATTGCTAATGCCCTGGAAGTATTAATTCACTTTGATATGCTAATTAGAGAACATTATGCAAGAAATGAGATTAAGTGGCAGCATGAAGTCGTTTGCCTGTCACTAAATTGAGTGTTTTTAGCGGGAGAGCACCCCACCCCAATTTTTTTCTTTCTTTCTGGGATTTGCATTCAGATCAGCTAAATGTGATATGTGTTGTTCTTTGTCCCTCAGTGTGATTTTGGAGCGAATGTTAAAATTTGGCATATGAAATCATTCAGACCGTACCTTTCCGCCCTGCAGGCTGCAAGAGAAGACAATGAATGTATTGAGTGAGGTTTGCCCACGGTTCAGATGACTTTTGCAGTTATTCCTCTGTGCTGGGTTTGTTTTATCCTGCTGTCTACTCCCCCCTTGTCTTGCTCCTCGTGCTTGGAAGAGGGGGCTCAGCAGCAAGCGGTGGGAGCGGCAAGAATAACAAAGGTGAAAGATTACCTCCATATGGTATTTCTGACCAGGAAAAGAGAGGTTCTGTGGCAAGACTCCTCTCTGATGTGAGGTTTAATCAATAGAGAGAGATTACAGAAACTATTACAGGCTAAATCATGGAGCGCTGCAGAGAGGCTAAGCCTTCTCCACAGCTCTCTCAGCTGCAAGGCGCTTCTCCTGCTCGCGTATTGACTTGTTGTTTTCCTGACCTTTGACTCATCAGGTTCAGAAATGGGGAGGGGTTGGGGCGGAGGGGCTGGTGGTCCAGAGAGAGGGAGGGGAGTGTGGCAGATTCAGGCTGATAACTGCTGTGATCCACTGTTTGTGGCTGTGGATTAGGGAGGGAGACTGCACACACAGGTCAGGGGAACGTTGGCGTTTTGTTGCACGGCGCTTTGCGAGGCGCACTTTCACGTGCGTGCGTCCATGCAACGCCGAGGTCTGCTTAACAAAATACAGTTCAGGATGAGGCTGTAATTAATCACATGCACAGGCAGACTAAAAGCATTACCTGCAGCAAATAGAGTTAGGACTGAGGAGGTAAGCATTTTATTTATTTTTTTAATCTTTGGGGGAAAATGAATTTAAGTGTTCCCTGACAAACTCAACAAGCCTTCCTTCAGTTTATTTTAATTCAACATTAACAATAAATATGAATAATAATTATGTTTTGCCCAGAAGAATGATAGTTTTTACATTTATCTCACTGTTTTGTGGGCTTCTTTCATCCTGAAAAGCGTTAGTAGATGCATGACAGAGAACAGAAAGCCATTCAGCTGCAGAGACAATTGACTTTGGCTGCTTTTTGTCTCAGGGAGCCGCCGTGATGCGGCTGGAGAGACTAGATAGCGTTGTGCCGAATGGTTTGTGCACAGCTGGGTTCCTGACTGACTCAACGGCAGGCCCTACTGCTTCCTCCTCTATAGCACGAGAGGGACTCGGGGAAGATGTGGCTATTATCTAAGTAGCTCCCAAATACCCTCCGTTTCCCTCATCAGCGCAGATGAAAAGGAGGGGAGCAAGACAAAGAGGACAGGGAGAGAAAAACAAGAGCGTCCATATCAGTTTCATTTGCCTTGTCGCCTTGCTTCTGCACACACAGCTCCTTAAACTTTTTTTTTTTTTTTTGTTAAAATGTTTGGATGCTGCCCCCCCTTCTCCCCCCCCACACACCCCCCCCCCCCCCCCCCCCCCCCCCCCACCATCAATCGCTCGAAGCCTTTTTTGCAGGCTTTCTGCACGATCAACAGCTCATAATTGTTTTTTGCACATACGTTATGCAAATGAGCCTTTATGGCAACTGGCATAACAATTAGCATCCTCCAACAATATTTTACTAGGTTAATTGCAGAATTTCTAAATTGTACATCTGAGTTGTTAATTAGGCATGACAGAGGTGGTGAAATAGTTATCTTCAGGCGGTGGCAGCCAGCAGAGGCTGCTTTGGATGCAAAAAGGAAGGATTGATTGAAATTAGTTCGCAGCAGTCGGAGCGAGCCTTTTGGAGACTCGTTGGCCCCTCTTGATGTTTTTTTTTTTGTATTTTTTTTTTGTGGCATCTGTTTGTTGCTGAATATATAAAAAAAATAACAATAACCTGAAGCAGACAGAGAGGAGCTGGATTACAGGAGAACTCCCTGCAGAAAGCGATTGCCCGTTTGTGTCAATTTAAAGGAGTGCTTGTTGTAAATAGAGTAAACAGACGTGAATGATGCTGCTTGTCATGTTGGCGCAAGTTAGCAAGGAATTTGTTCTCATGCATCACTGGAGTTGGACTCTTGTCAAAACTGTAAAAATATTTGACCTGCCTTGCACGCTGAGGCTGTAGTTTTTATTTATTTATGCTTTTTTTACCCCCATAAGTTACTTTGCATAACTGCCACTAGTTTTAACAAGTCAATAGAAA